CACATGCCGCGGAGCGGCTGGGCCCGTGAGCCATGGCCACTGAGCCTGCGTGTCCGGAGCCTGTGCTCCACAACGGGAGAGGCCACAACAGTGAGAGGGCCGCGTACCACAAAAAAAAAAAAAAAGAAAGAAAAAGAATCACATGACAGTTTCCTGAAATGTTCCTTGAGACTGTTCTCTTCTAGAGAACCAACTGGTGGCTGCCCAGGGAGTTTGGGGGTAGGAGATGGAGTGGAAGTTAGGGGTTAGCAGATGCAAACGATTGTACATAGGATGGCTAAACAACAATGTCCTGCTGTAGAGCACAGGGAACTATATTCAATAGTCTGTGATAAACCATAATGGAAAAGAGTATGAACAAGAATGTATATATATGTATAACTGAATCACTTTGCTGTGCAGTAGAAAATAACACAACATTGTAAACCAACTATACTTCAATAAAATACATTTTTGAAAATACCGTTGTCACCGTTGTCTTCAAACTCTGTGCTTGTTACCACTACCAAAAGAATTTTGGAAAACTGTATACATCCTCGCATATTTTTTAGACCTAAAATTTTTCTTTAGAGTTTTAAATGTAATTTTTAAAATTTTAATCAATATTAACTTTAAAAGTAAAACTATTCACTTTTAAATTTTATATAAAAAATAAAGTTTGTAAAAAACTTGCAAAATAATATAATGACTTCTTGTATGCCTTTTCCTAGATTCATTAATTATTAATGTATTAAACTTAAAAAGAAATGTTTTGGGGGGATTGTACTTCCCCAGGGAGGTGGCCAGAGCTGTTCTTGACTTCCTTAAATTTGTTCAGAGAGGCAGCAATAGTACAGTTGTTTAGCTCAAGTGTGGAGTCAGGCAGCCTTGATTTGAACGCTAGTTCTGACACTTAATTAGCTCTGTGGTCTGGGCAAGTTATTTAATCTCTCTGTATCCCAAAATCTATCTCATATGGTTGTATGAGGACCAAGTGAGTTAATATTATAAAGCACTTACAATGTTACCTGACATATTGTATGTTCAATTTATGTTTATGGTACAAATAAAATGCACCAATAAACAAATAATTATTTATTGTTAGAATAATTAGGCTTCAGAGCATATTAACAAGAAGAAGAGAAGACACTAGAATACTAGTAAGTTTCAGGCTTACAAAAGATGTACTTCATGATTGTTGTTAAATGCATTATTTACAGGAGAATCACATAACATTGTTAAAGTTAATCTAATAAGAACATGGTAGGAATAAACAAATGAGCAGAGAAATGATTGATGATTGACAGTAGGCAGGAGACGTATCCAAATTTAAAAAAAAAAAAGAATGATTTTCCATTATCCAAGAATCTGGGGGCAAAAGTTAATGAAACATTTTTTCTACAGGTCATTAAATGTTTGCAAAAATATAAAACACTAAAGTGCCTCTGATATATGTTCCTTTTATTTAAAGACATCGTGTTCAGCTGTTGAAAGTAAATGTGAAACTTTTCACTTCCTCCTCCTGGAAGTCATGCAAATATGCAAAGGAGAAAACAGACCCAGACAGGACGGCTGAGGGTGCCAGCTGAGCTCTGGCACGGCTGAGAATAGCCAGGGCACGGGTGCGCCTCACAGCGGATCGGCATCGAATGCCCAGACGCTCTTTAAGAATCATGAATATTTTTAAGACAGACAGATAAGGCAAGGTGCTTGGCCATGTGTCTGTCACCTGCGTGATATAAAGTATGATCACCTTCAGAACTTCACCTGCTTTGTGCTCAAGGGATTCGCCCTCAGGAATCAGGCATCCTTAGACAATTGGGGGTGTATGGAAATGAGTACCATCATCGGGCTTCCTTGGTGGTCCAGTGGTTAAGACTCCACCCTTCTGCTCCTCGGGGCGCGGGTTCCATCCCTGGTCCAGGAAGTTCTGCATGCCTTGAGGTGCAGCCCCTCTGTGACATATCTGAATCCAGAACACCCCAACATGGGCCAAAGTATCTTTTTATTTTAGTTTTTTATTTTTTAGCACTGCTTTATGTACTCATTTTCTATTAAATTCTTTAAAAAGGTTTTTTTTATTGAAGTATAGTTGATTTACAATGTATTGGTTTCCGGTGTACAGCAAAGTGAATCAGTTATACATATATACGTATATATACACGTATATATATATATATGTATATACGTATATACATATATACGTATATCCACTCTTTTTTAGATTCTTTTCCCATATGGGCCATTACAGAGTACTGAGTTCCCTGTGCTATACAGTAGGTCCTTATTGGTTATCTATTTTATATATAGTAGTGTATATATGTCAGTCCCAATGTCCCAATTTATCCTTCCCCTCCCTTCCCCCTGGTAACCGTAAGTTTGTTTTCTACATCTGTGACTCTATTTCTGTTTTGTAAATAAGTTCATTTTTACCCTTTTTTTAGATTCCTCATATAAGAGATATCATATGATAGTGGTCTTTCTCTGTCTGACTTGCTTCACTCAGTATGACAATCTCTAGGTCCATCCACAAAATATCTTCTTTTTATTAATTTCATATTGTGCCCATAAGAAAAATACATACATGACAGAGAAGACATGAAGATGTGTCACAGGCTTGCGGTGATTCGATTAAAAGAGGATTCATCAAAACTGACATTTTGGTGTCTTTTGTTTGGGGCCACAAAGCTTTTGCATTCCAAGCATTGATAATAATTAACAATAATTCATAACAAAATCCAGGAGCGGGGAGAGGCTGAGGCACACCTGAAGCGTCTCACATGGCATGGATTAAACACCTTCCCTCTCCATTAGACAAAATTATTTTCAGCAATAATCATAAAAAGAAATGATGACATTTCATGTTTGTCCTGACTCAACAAAAAAGGTCTAACCTGTAATTTGCCCTCCTTTTCACTGTTTAAGATTTTTAAACGCACATAAAAAGTCCAAGTAGGGCTTCCCTGGTGGTGCAGTGGTTGAGAGTCCGCCTGCCGATGCAGGGGACACGGGTTCGTGCCCCGGTCTGGGAAGATCCCACATGCCGCGGAGCGGCTGGGCCCGTGAGCCATGGCCGCTGAGCCTGTGCGTCCGGAGCCTGTGCTCCGCAGCGGGAGAGGCCACAACAGCGAGAGGCCCGCGTACCGCAAAAAAAAATAAAAAAGTCCAAGTAGACAGAGGTGAATAACTCAATTCATTTCTTTTGTCTTTATAGTCAAGGTGCCGTCATGGTTTCCTTTGATTCTACTGTTTGAACACAGATACGTGTTGCAGAGATGGAGGTGCTGACCTAGCGTGAAGGGAGCTCAGATGATTCCGAAGGAGGGAATCCTCATAAACTCACTCTGGAAAGGGGTCCATGGGGCTGAGGTGGTGGGTGTCCGGGGCCCACTGTATAACTGGCGTTTTCAGGATTAAATTCTATGTTGAATATAATGTTTTTTAAAGGTTAAATTACACAGATAGGCCAATGTGAAGTTTACATATCTATTATTGAAAGCCAGTGGAAACCACAACATTTGTGTAGATTCAGAACTTAGACCAACAAAATATTTTTTCAGGGAGGAATATGTTATCAATGAGGTTGTTTATTTTATTTTTTTTAGACATTTTCCCCCGATATTTATTTATTTATTTATTTGTTTTTATTTGGTTGCGCCGGGTCTTAGTTGTGGCAGGCAGGCTCCTTAGTTGCGGCTCACAGGCTCCTTAGTTGTGGCAGGCAGGCTCCTTAGTTGCGGCATGCATGTGGGATGTAGTTCCCTGACCAGGGATTGAACCTGGGCCCCCCTGCACTGAGAGCATGGAGCCTTAACCACTGCGGCACCAGAGAAGTCCCTACTGAGGTTGTTTAGAATTGCCCCGAGGTGATAATACAGAGCAGCCCATTTGGGGGACGGTTAATGTTTTAAAATTCTCTATGGACGATGCAGCCTATTGCCCGCCCACAGTGGTAGTTGCAGGGTCGGGGGGAGTCCCACTACCCTCCTCTTGCACACGGTTGATAAGAGGCTCACCTTTCCTTTATAAGGTGGCAGAACAGTCAACAGCCAGGTGGGACAGAGACCCAGCGGATACCTTGAGCGCAGGCAGGAAGAAGGTGACAGAGAGTTTGAGTTGGTGGCAATCGATTCTCTTCCAATGGTGTGTTGAGTACTCCTTGGACCGAGGCAGAGGGACTTGCCCTCAGGCTGGCAGAGGGGGAAGGAGCCTGGGCTCTGGAGGACTCCATGGAGAGCGCCCTGATTTCACCGATGTGAGAAATAAGATTCCACTTTTCATGGGGTTTCTGACACTTCCAGTAGTCAGGGAAGGTCCCGAGATTTCAGGGGCCTGAGATCTAAAGGATGAATAGGTGTTTTCTGAGTAAAAAGAAGAGGGAAGAAAATTTCATGGAGCTGAAAGCTCAGATAGGAAAGTCAAGAGCCAAGAGCCAGGACTTCCCTGGTGGCGCCGTGGTTAGGAATCCGCCTGCCAATGCAGGGGACACGGGTTCGAGCTCTGGTCTGGGAAGATCCCACATGCCATGGAGGAACTAAGCCCGTGTGCCACAGCTACTGAAGCCCTCACGCCACAACTGCTGAAGCCCATGTGCCCTAGAGCCCGTGCTCCGCAACGAGAGAAGCCACTGCAATGAGAAGCCCACACACTGCAACAACGAAGAGTAGCCCCCGCTCGCCGCAACTAGAGAAAGCCCGCGCCAGCAACGAATACCCAACGCAGCCAAAAATAAAATTAAATTAAAAAAAAAGAAAAAAAAAAGAGCCAAGAGCCAGCGTGGTGAGTTTGAGGAAGGGAAATAAGCCCAGGTTCGAGAGGACCTTGGGGGTCGTGAGCAGGAACTCCAGAAGAATGGCTAATGATTCATCTGGGTTTGTTGGCCTGGCCCAGTGCCATGATCTGGGAGCTCTGTGTTCTAGGAGGTTTTCAGAGGCCAATCCAGGGCCCTGCCCTCCCAGGGTTGCCCTGGGCAACCTCTGTTAGTAAAGAATCCTGTTTACTACCTTGTGACTCATACTCACCTGTGGTTTCTATAGTTGCCACCAACAATGAAGCATAAATCCATTCCTGGAGGGTGGGGTCCGCAGGGTGAGGCCGTCTTCTTCCTTCGCTGGCTCAGAACCTGGCAGAGTTTCCCAGACTATAGCAGAGGGCACTGGGGGAGAGAGAGTTTGTCTACTGAATCTCAGGTGTGGGTTTCCTTGGGAGGGGAAGGAGCTGAGTGGGGTAGAGGGACAGATCTCTGCAGTCGGGCCTGGGGGTACACACAGTGCAGCCCCCAAGCTGGTCAGAAGCTCCCTCTCTCTAGATAATTATGGGGAGAGCCCAAGAGATGGAGAGAGAGAGAGAGAGAGAGAGCGCGAGCCTCTGGTACAGAAAAGTTACAGCAAGACTCAGGGGACCCAGGCACTTTCTTCACCAGAGACAAATGGGGTTTGGTCCCCAGGGTGGTGGTGGCGTGATAGGCCAGATCCAGAAATGCAAAGCTGGGGTCGGTGGGTGGGGCATGGGGACGTACACAAAGGAACCAGAAGCAAGGAAGCCACAGGGACAGACAGTCTTTTTAAAAGACCATCTCAGGGAGATGCAAGAGGGAGGAGATTTGGGTATATGTGTACATATAGCCGATTCACTTTGTTATAAAGCAGAAACTAACACACCATTGTAAAGCAATTATACTCCAATAAAGATGTTAAAAAAATAAATAAATAAAAGACCATCTCATATGTATAGCTGATTCACTTTGCTGTACACCTGAAACTAACCCAACATTGTAAATCAACCAGATTCCAATTAAAAAAAAAAAAACCCCATCTCATCCCATACGTTTGCACAAAGTCTTACAGGTTACAAAGCACCTGTGTGTCTGCTTTCTCATTTGCTTTTTACAGAAGCCATGTGAGGAAAAGCCAGAGCAGGGAATACCATCTATCCTACAACCGGGAGACTAAGGCTTATCGAAGTTGACTAACACAGTCAAGGTCAAAAGCAAGACGAGAATCTAGACCTCCTGGCTCACAGTCCAGTGCCCTTTCCACTAAACCAGTGTTTTTCAAACTTCGGCATCTACAGACTGTTTTTTAGTGGGTGTCTGTTACACACAAAGGACTAGAATTTTTGATACATTTAAAAAATTATCACAAATGTTAAAATAGCATAACGAAACATTTATTTTAAAAAGTAATAATTCAGGGACTTCCCTGGTGGCGAAGTGGTTAAGAATCCGCCTGCCAATGCAGGGGACACGGGTTCGAGCCCTGGTCTGGGAAGATCCCACATGCTGCGGAGCAACTAAGCCCATGTGCCACAACTACTGAGCTTGCGCTCTAGAGCCCGTGAGCCACAGCTACTGAGCCTGCGTGTCACAACTACTGAGCCCGTGTACCTAGAGCCCATGCTCCGCAGCAAGAGAAGCCACCACAATGAGAAGCCCGCGCACCGCAACGAAGAGTAGCCCCCGCTCGCCACAACTAGAGAAAGCCCGCGTGCAGCAACGAAGACCCAACGCAGCCAAAAATAAATAAATAAATAAACTTATTTAAAAAACGAAGTAATAAATCAATGAGAAAGATATATGTGTAACCTTCACTAGGGTATTTATATTGAGCTTGATATCAGAGAGTTTGAGTCATGGCTCAGGTTTGAGTCACAGCCAGACAGTTTCTTTCTTTTTTTTTTTCCTGTTTCCACTAAATTAGGACCAGTTAAGGAACGTCACTGAGTGCTTCATGAGACAGTCCTGGATAACAGATGAAACTTATACTCAACTGTGCAGAGCATTCTCAGGGAAGGTGGTTTGCTGAATGATCAGAATCCAAACGTGCAATTTGGAAGACTGACCATTTTCACCTGGGAGGTCGGTCAGTTGGATTCCTTATCCAGTCTTTGGGTTGGTTCAGCTTTGGAAAGTACTTCTTGTTCTGATGTAGAATTACAAGGTGTGTGTGTGTGTGTGTGTGTGTGTGTGTGTGTGTGTGTGTGTGTG